GGCCCGTAAAGCCTTTAATTTCGCTAGTAAAGCAAACACAGAAGTAGCCTGGGAGAAGTACAAAGCGAACCTCAAGCAGTACAACAAAGAACTGTGTAAGGCAAAGAGGAATGCCTGGACCAAGTTATGCACGAACATTCAACAGACACCCAAGGTCTCCCGACTTAGGAAGGTCCTCGCAACCCTGCGCCTAATGTAGGATACATTAAAACCTCGGATGGTAAGTGGACCATGTCCATTAAAAAGAGGCTCTCACAAATGCACATTTCAGGAGGAAACCCTCCCGAGCCAGCTCTAATACCTCCTGAGAAATAGGAATCTCTGTTGGGCGATAAACATTTTCAAGCCCTTTAAATCTCAAAACCCAGATGGCATCTTAGCGGCACAAATAAGCAAAGACGGGATTGATCTGAGGTTTTGGATCAGGAAAATCTGCACAGAAATCTTCAGAAAAAGTATCGTGTTTGCGTGGTTGCGGACGAAGGTTGTCTTCATATGCAAAAGCGGGAAAACCATCGCACTGCTCCCTTAAGGACTTCACCTCTATAAGCCTGTCTTCCTTCCTCCTCAAGACAATGGAGAGACTTACCTGCCTCCACATTAATCTTACCATTAACCCAGATGATATTTCGGGATTACAGAATGCGTATAGGAATGGCCGATTCAAGGAGACGGCGCTCCACGAGATCACTACGTTCCTCGAAAGACACTTAGTGACAAGGAATACGCACTTATTGCTTTTCTAGACATACATACAAGGTTTAACATCATCCTGCCATGTTGGATAATCAATGCGCTGACGAGACTAATGTCAGAAGAGGCACTCCGTAAGGAAGTAAACTCTCGCCCCTACTGTGGAACGTGGCGGTTATAAGCCTACTACGATCCCTAAAAGGTGTTGGTTGCAAATTACCTTCTCTGGAAAATTTCCCCAGACTCTATGCGACCGCATGACGGACAAACTGATAGTTCTCTTAAAATGGGCAGAAAGAAAAGGGGTTCATACTCGACCTATTATCTGTAGAGATAGTCACGCTATAGTCACAAGATAGCCACGACAATAGCTATCGACAATCAGGCTATGCCAGGCGAGTCTATGGAAAAAACTAATTACTGTATACCTGACGAGCATCCTTACTTAAAATATAAAATATCCATTCCAGCGAGGGAGGAATGGGCCACACAGCGATAAAAGTCAGCTGTTGGGAAATGACGTTTCTAGTTTGCGTTTGGCTTCATTTTGTAGTGCGGTTTCAAATTGATATTTCTTGACCGTCGAAGCACAAATCAATAAAATTTTAAATGGATTTTTTAACACTAATATTTTGCCAAATTCGTGCATGTATTTCTAAAAATTTGTAAATAAAGCAAGTGGTGTCCGAACAAAACTTTCGTAATGAAAGTTCAACTTTGGGAAAAGTTTTAAAAAAATGTTTAGATTCGATCAGTGAGTAACATCATATCCATGATGTAGAGCCATAAAATCTTAATTCAGAACATCTAGGTTCAATTGCGCCTTTTTGCGAAATTCCAATTTTTAGGAAAGAAGGTTACAATCAGAAATGCGGTGTTGCTAGAAGTGTGGGGCCAAAAAAAAATTTGGGGGACACGCCTACTTTGCTTCAAAAACTTGTATAGCACTAGAAAAAAACACCATACAAATATCTTGCCTCGTTTGCAAGTTATAAATTAATGCCACAAAAACAGAGCGAATTCCCTGCGATTTTTCGCAAAAAAATAGTTCGAAAACGCCCATTTTTTTAAAAAAATGCATAAAACTAGCATTTTGTCATAAAAAGAAAAAACATTTCTTTTTTAAATTTTTACCATAAAAAAAAATAAAAGTGGATTAAAAAAAGCGGAACCATGCCCATTTTTTTTTAAATATCTTCATTTCTTTATTATTAACTTAATTCAAAAAAACAGAATTTAAAAATGTTGGTTTGTTTTTAAGTTATTAACTAATGCCACAAAAAACTGGGCGAATTCCCCACTGTGCACTGTAGTTGGTTCCAAGCAGAAGTAATAGTTATCGCGGAAGCACTGAAGTCTCCAGCACTTACTGGCAATCGAGAAATAATCTGTATCTTCTCAGACAGTCAAGCGGCACTCAGAGCCCTTGACGGATTGTCATCCCACTCCAGGACAGTCAATGACTGTCGCAGATCTCTTGCAAGATGGCGAGATGGCGGAGCAGCATGACATCTACCTCATATGGGTGCCCGGACATAGGGAACCACGAGGGAAATTGCGCCGCTGATGAACTAGCAAGGGCGGGTACTACCAACCGTCTCCTTCCGGAGAAAGAACTAGTAGGCATTCCCTTAGCTACGTGTAGGCTAAAATGCAGGGATCACTTTGACTGCGCATCACTGAGGAAATGGAGAAATCTCCAAAACTGCAGGAACTCACGCATGATATCGCCTATCCGCTCTAGGAAACGATCAATGATGCTTATCGCCCTCAATAGGCAGGACTGCAGTCGGGCAGTCAAGATCACGAGACAATGGTTAATAGGAACGCACGTGGCTAGTCTAGCGGTTCCACACAATGAATACTGTAGGAGCTGCGGGGATGTAGAAGAAGGAGAAGAGCACTCACGGATCTAACAGACCTCGCGGAGATCGCTCCACGCAGACTTGTTGCCTTCATCCGGAGAGCTGGATAAGACCGCGAGCCGCCGCAGGAAGGATAGTTATCCTTTGCACAATAGAAGATAGGAGGGGGGAGGTCCCCTTGAGGGACCTTTTGCCTGCTCCTGCCTCAAGGAGCCCCAAAGGCACAAGTGGATGGGGGTGTCAGTGAGCAGCCCCGCATCGCCGCCTCAACCTAACCTAACTGAACTTATCTATGCATTACGCTTCCATCCTGACTCGAGCGGTATCGATTAAAAGTTCTATCTATTCTACTACCACATTGGCGCATTGTAAAGAATGAGGCTGTGAGCATGACGTTTCACACACTTATACTGTGTGTGTGTAGCAGAGCTCCGGCTGAGAAATTTCCTTAGCCCTCGGGATAGGGCCGTGCCGACCACTGATGTAAAAAGTTCTAAAAATCGAAATCGAAAAGCGTTTTCCCCTCACCCACAAGCTCGACGAAAAAAGCTTACCGTTTTGGTCCCTGAGGTCCCATCTATGTATTGTATAATCTTTGTTAGTGAGAAGCCACCACGACGCCTGTAATAAACGACATCAAGGCTTAGTTCTATATCAGTCGAGGGGGAGAGTAGGATGCTTCGAGAGACCGTCTATCTATACAAGCGTTGATTATTTTGGCTTGTTATTGAAAAAGGCGCAAAGAGAAATTGGGAATATTGGGAAAGCTCTGTTCACCTGTCTTACGTTGAGCGCAGTGCATTTTGACACACTGCACATAGGTGGAGCATGGAAGAGACTCGTCCGTACAACGAAAGGGAACATTTTCTCAAATGACTCATTCAACGACGCATTGATGTAGGAACAATTTATTAAGAAGTTCAATACTTTTTTTTGCTTCCCTACTATATTGACTAAAGACCTTTCTTATTTTATGTAATCTTACCCAGACTTCGGGCGGAGCCGAAGTTGATATACCCTTCCAGTCAAAACCGGATATATATCGCTTAAATCGGACATAATTGGCCGATCCTTATGAGAATATCATAATATAACCAATTTGTTGCAATAAAAAAATAAAAAACAAGAAAGGAAAGCTAACTTCGGGCGGAGCCGAAGTTTATATACCCTTGCAGCTAAAACCGGATATATATCGCAAACATCGGATATAGTTGGCCGATCCTTATGAAATTTGGTAGGATGGATCAAAATATAATCTGTACCAAGTTCCAGCTTTCTATCTTCAAAAACACAAAAGTTGGGTCATTTCCGATCGTTCAGTTATATGGCAGCTATAGGATATAGTCGGCCGATCCTAATGAAATTTGGTAGGTTGGATCAACTAACCAAAAATAGAGTCTGTACTAAATTCCAGCTTTCTATCTTCAAAAACACGAAAGTTGGGTCATTTCCGATCGTTGAGTTATATGGCAGCTATAGGATATAGTCGGCCGATCCTTATGAAATTTGGCATGTCGTATTATTTTGCCAAAAATAGCTCTCATGTCAAATTTGAACTCTCTAACTCTAAAAACACCAAAGTTATACCATTTCCGATCAATCAGTTATATGGCAGCTATAGGATACAGTCGGCCGATCCCGGCCGTTCCGACTTATATACTGCGTGCAAAGGAAAGAAGGGTGTGTGCAAAGTTTCAAGACGATAGCTTTAAAACTGAGAGACTAGTTTGCGTAGAAACAGACAGACGGACAGACGGACATGCTCATATCAACTCAGGAGGTGATCCTGATCAAGAATATATATACTTTATAGGGTCGGAGATGTCTCCTTCACTGCGTTGCACACTTTTGGACAAAATTATAATACCCTCTGCAAGGGTATAACAAGTCCCAAACATCCCAAGTCCCAGAAATTGGGTAGGTGGGATCAACTGACCAAAAATAGAATCTGTACGAAGTTTCAACTTTTTATCGTCAAAAACATGAAAGTAGGATCATTTCCGATTGTTCAGTTATATGGCAGCTATAAGTTATAGTCAGCCGATCCTAATGAAATTTTGTATGTCGTAATATTTTGCAAAAATATCATTCGTACGAAATTTGAACTCTAAAACTAAAACAACAAAGTTATAGCATTTCCGATCAATCAGTTATATGGCAGCTATAGAATATAGTCGGCCGATTCCGGTCCCTCCGACTTATATACTGCGTGCAAAGGAAAGAAGGGTGGGTGCAAAGTTTCAATTCGATAGCTTTAAAACTGAGAGACTAGTTTGCGTAGAAACAGACAAACATGCTCATATCAACTCAGTCGGTGATCCTGATGAAGAATATATGTATACACTTTATACTTGCACACTTGTGACCAAAATTATAATACCCTCTACAAGGGTATAAAAATAGTAACTTAAAATATAAGTGAACAATTTCATTATTACTGACCGGTTTTATTACTATTCGTATTTGAAGTCCCATTTATATTATGATCTTTAATTTTTGCTTTGTTAGATGTTTTTGTACCAATAATTCTTCCCTTTTGCATGGTCTGAAAAATAGAGAAAAAAATGTATTTAAAAATTGGATTGAAACAAAACAAAGGTCGAATAAAGTTTTTCTTCATTGAACTAGCATTAAACGATGACCTTCTGGCCGAGGATCACGTTCTTTTTAATTTCCTTTTTCTGTGAATTTATTTCTGCGCAACCTTTCTTGATATCGGACTCGTAATAATAGATCTTCCTCGATTTCTTGTCCCGTAAACTGTCATAAAAATCTGTTATGTATGTCAAATTATTCAGAATCATTAATGCTAAAATTATGCCACGTATTAGTTTGTTGACCTTTGAAAGTTTTCGTCTCACTTACTGTAAACCTAGATTGCAATATGTTTGAAAATGTTGTGAATTTGACATTATTTTTTTTCAAATTTGTCGGGTCAGCCAGCAACACAGCGGTTTAATGTTAATATTTAATGTAATGTTTATTTATTTAGGCTTAAGTTTGTACAAAACGCTTAGTTGGCCGCAAGCCGACTTTCTCTCGGCCACTCGACTCAACAGGCATTTCTTTAGAGTTTTAGCTTCGCAATGTCTAGGTCGGGCCGCCCTCTCCATTACCGAGACCTTATGTTCGCAATGACTAGTCGGGCCGCCCTCTCTGTAAATTACTTGAGTCTCGGCATGCACCATGAGCTGGTCTATTTGCTGATCATCCGGCTTCATTTGCATGCAGAAATAAACATTTTTATAACGTTTAAAATTAAATATAATTTGCCTTTTTATACCCTTGCAGAGGGTATTATAATTTTGGTCAAAAGTGTGCAACGCAGTGAAGGAGACATATCCGACCCTATAAAGTATATATATTCTTGATCAGGATCACCTCCTGAGTTGATATGAGCATGCCCGTCTGTCCGTCTGTCTGTCCGTCTGTCTGTTTCTACGCAAACTAGTCTCTCAGTTTTAAAGCTATCGTCTTGAAACTTTGCACACACCCTTCTTTCCTTTGCACGCAGTATATAAGTCGGAACGGCACGGATCGGCCGACTATATCCTATAGCTGCCATATAACTGATTGATCGGAAATAATATAACTTTGGTGTTTTTAAAGTTAGAGAGTTCAAATTTTAGGTGAGAGCTATTTTTGGCAAAATAATACGACCTGCTAAATTTCGTAAGGATCGGCCGACTATATCCTATAGCTGCCATACAACTGAACGATCGGAAATGACCCAACTTTAACCCAAGTCGTGTTTTTGAAGATAGAAAGCTGGAACTTGGTACAGATTATATATTTGGTCAGTTGATCCGACCTACCAAATTTCATTAGGATCGGCCGACTATATCCTATAGCTGCCATATAACTGAACGATCGGAAATGGTACTTGGTAGAGAAACTTTCGTATTTTTGAAGATAGAAGTTTGGGACTTTTTTTAGATTTTGTATTGTAAAAAATTGGATTACATATTCCTATTGCCATAAGGATCGGCCAACTATATCCGATGTTTGCAATATATATCCGGTTTTAACTGCAAGGGTATATAAACTTCGGCTCCGCCCGAAGTTAGCTTTCCTTTCTTGTTTATTTACGGTATTGAAAAATCCCAATGACCAAACAAAAATTTTTTTTTTTTTATAAAAACTTGTTTGCCTGATTTAAAAATTGCTTACAGTATAATAACAAAGCAACATAAAATGGTACAATTTGGTACAATGGACGGTCCGATCAATTTTGTTAACAAATCCCTCGCCTTCTTGTTTGTTTCTTAATCTTTCTTTTTGGTCTCGAACGCTCCGCTAGTGTAAGGCGTTAAGCAGCGCTCGATTATTGTTATTCTTTTTATGCAATCGTTCGCGACAATTATTAAAATTCAATTATCTGTAAGATAATATTATAATTTTGCAGCTACAGAAAACGCTCGGAAACATAACAGTGGGAAAGGAACTTGAATAATTTTGTGATCTTTGCAGCTAATTACCTTTACAATTGTACAAAAAATAAAAAAAAATAAAAAATTTGGAATTAAATAGGTAGGTCACAAAAATCTTCCGGGGAAAAATGTTTTAGGAAACATCATAAAGGCATACAATTAAATGTATTAAATCGGAGGTTTCAACTTTCAATAAATATTCCGAAGATATTGTCACTGCTAGATGCTATTTTTATACCCAGAGGGTATTATAATGTTGTCCAAAGTGTGCAACGCAGTGGAGGAGACATCTCCGACCCTATAGATTATATATATTCTTGATCAGGATCACCTCCTGAGTTGATATAAGCATATCCGTCTGTCTGTTTCTGTTTCTGAAACTAGTCTCTCAGTTTAAAAGCTATCGTCTTGAAACTTTGCACACACCCTTATTTCCTTTGCACGCAGCATTTAAGTCGGAACGGCCGGGATCGGCCGACTATATCCTATAGCTGCCATATAACTGATTGATCGGAAATGCGTTTTAGAGTTAGAAATGAATTTTTAGAGTTAGAGAGTTCGGATTTTGAACGAATGCTATTTTTGACAAAATACAACTCCCACAAAATTTCAGGATTTCAAGGATCGGCCAACTATATCCTATAGCTGCCATGTAACTGAACGATCGGAATTGACGCAACTTTAGTGTTTTTGAGAATAGACAGTTGGAACTTCGTACAGATTCTATTTGTGGTCAGTTGATCCGACCCACCAAATTTCATATCGGCCGACTATATCTTATAGCTGCCATATAACTGAACGATCGGAAATGGTATTTGGTGTTAGGTAAAAATACCAACTTTTTTATTTTTGAAGATAAAAGCTTGGCGCTTTTTTTTAAAGATTTTTTATTGTAACAAATTTGGTTATATTATAATATTCTCATAATGATCGGCCCACTACATCCGATTTTTGCGATATACATATATCCGGTTTTAACTGTAAGAGTATATCATCTTTGGCTCCGCCCAAAGTTAGCTTTCCTTTCTTGTTTAAAATGAGTTGGTATACAAAATAATATGTACTAAAAAATTTAAAAATTTAAATTCAATTTAAAATGATACATGTAAAAAATAATATGTACTAAAAAAAACGTAAATACAAAGACTCTTTTTATTGCGGTCTTTCAGAAGTAGGGGAATGGCTAGTGCACCAGGTAGCATTCCTACATTCATCATGAAGCTTGAAGGACCAACCGACATAAGGGGCGCTGTCGCATCACATTCGGTCCGAAACGCGGGAACCGACTTATTAGGTAAATAAAGAAATTAGAAAGCTAACGACGAAGAATTACTTCTAAAGTTTAAAATAAATGTTTTTAAGATTGAAGGACAGGAAAGTAAGATAATAGGGTAGAGTTATTGTAGTTCATGATGTCATGTTGTGCACATGTCAAACTAAAATGGGTAAGGAATAGAGGACTAAAGATCCTAGTCATTTTATTAAGAATAATAAAATTTAATCGTGTTAGTAAGCGCTGGCTATCTATGTATATCACCATTTATAAGGTTGTGCAGAAAAACGACACCCAACATTGTTCTACCATTTGATAAATGTTTTATAAGGGTAATTGACGGGTAATTATTGGTAAGAGTTATGATACGATACAAAGAAAGATTATTAGCATTTCAGTTAAGACCTCTTCTGAAATGCAAACGTTAAGATATTATTTGAACAGATTCTATACTGTCTTCATGTACTCCCTATCCCCAATATCTCCAGACATATGAACAGTACTCCAGTATCGGACGAACCAAAGAAATAATTCAACTTTTATTAATAAAGGGTAGTTAAATTCTTCTGACCACCTTTTAACAAACCCAAGGACACCTTAAGCCTTAGTAATTTTGTGGAAATATGGTCCGCAAACTTGAGTCTAATAGGAAATCAACATCTTTAATCTGAGTAAAGTTTTTTAAGGCAATCCCATAGAGCGAATACGTAGCCTGCGTAGGGCAAGAGCGATAAAAAGACATACGCTTGCATTTTGAGTGCATTTTAAGTTACGGTTAAACATTTGCTAAACACCATTTTCGAAAATTTTCGAGATCGGACAGAAGTTTTCATTGGGCAGAAGCAGATTTATTCTGAAGACAAACATTCATACATAAGTACTAGCAAGATCGTTAAAGCAAGGAGCAATTCATGAAAAAAAGAGTAAAGAGTAACGGACCAAGATGACTTCCTTGAGGGACGAATGTTCATTTTTAAATAAGACTCCTTGTGTTCTTCCGTCTAGCTGGAGATCCACGTTAGGAGGTCTGTAAGAAATCTTAGAATATTCGGTTTTCGCAACTGGAGTGATTGACTGAATCGAACGATTTACGAAGTCTGTGTAAAGAACATCAGTTTAAAATCCATTTCGGAGGCCATCTATGACAAAGGATGTCAACAAAAATAAATAATTGGTGATGAAGCATCCCTTATTCAAGCAATGCTGACATGGAGTAATGATCGAAGAGCAAAGCTGTTGCAAATGAGGATTAATTAATTTTTCGAAAAACTTTAGAATGGCCGACAATTTTGAAATGCCTCTGTAGTTCGCAGAATCTGACTTTTTCTCTTTTTGATGTAAGGGAATCATGAAAAATTCCTTCCACTTACAAGAAAAAATGGAGGTTTCCAAAAATAAGTTGAAAACTCTATATAGATGTGTCCACAGAGCCCTGGCACAGGATTTAAGCACACAGTCTGGTACTCCATCGGGGCCTAGCGAATCAACGAGTTTGATCCTCCTTATGCACGGTCTATACTACTGCAGGTTTTTTTTATATTTAAGTAAGAGCCTATTTTTAGTATTGTTTAAGTTCGTTAGGCACCTTGTAAACCAAGGAGGATATGTTGAAGCGGATGGATATTTCCATGGCACACATGAGACAAAAAATGTATTGAAAATATGGTAAAATTTTTGTAAGTGACAATAAGATCGGTGCATGGCAGAATATTGAACCAATCATATGTATCGATAAGGCTATAAGGTTTGTGAAAATCAGACTTACGGAAACAGCAAATCTTATTTGGCACGCAAGGAAACTTCAAGTTTCGACAGAAAACTCAAGAGTGGGGTGATATTGAT